TATATATATATATATATGTTTGAATAGAATTTAAAGCCATGTATGAACATTCATAAATCCATGGCTCTACCAAAACCACAAACAGTAAATAAAGAGTTGTGTACAAGATGAAACTTTATTTTAATCAAGAAAACGCCATGTATTTAATTTGATTCTCTAGTGTGGCCCTATTAAATGAAATCACTTTTTAAACAAGATATTGGTCAATCATGTCATCCACTGCCTCTACGATGGAGGTTGATCCCTAATAATATCTACATAAAAGTAGTGGTCGCTTTATTTAAATTTTTGGCTTTTTTGTTTGTTCATTTTATGTTTAGATTATTTTATACTATGTGTATATTTCAAATTATTTGTTTAATTTAAGGGAGCAGTTTATCTCACTTGGCCCCACTAGAGTCGTATTGTTTATATTGTCAAAGCCTCCTCCACTCTGCAAAAGACTGTAGCCTTTTCTATGTGAATAGATTTGATTTTAATAGTAAAAAGGTTGGTAACCCAGGTTTGGTAGGTTTTCATCCTCCACAGCGTGACTGAACAGGACTTTCTGTGTTTGTTCACAGGTGGTGACTAACAGGGACACACTGGAGACACTCCTGTGCATAGCCTACGTCTTTGAGGTGTCCACCAGTGAGCACGGAGCACAGCATCATATTTACAGGCTAGTCAAAGACTGACACAGTCACACAGTTGGAACTTACCTCCTCTAGAACCATTGTAGCACTTCAGTGAGCAACAACGTTAAACAATGGACTACTTCCTCTGTAAGCTTAAAGCTGAACCCATACAAGGAGCCCAGAGAAACACTTGTTTTGTTAGCATGTCCAGGAACACTACTACTGTTGAGGAAGAGGTGGATTTGGGATTGTGGAAGCTGAAACAGGCTTTGTTTGAAAAGTGGCAAGAAAAAAAGAAGAAGAAGAGGACCATGATACACTGTGGTCTCTATACCAAAGGAGCCAAACCTAGCCGACCTGCAGACCTGCATGAGAAAGTTGTCATTGGTGGTGTTTTTCATCTCATTTTACTAGTGTTTGTTTTTGATTTTTGATTCTTTTACACAAATGCATGTGCAGGGGATGTTTGCTACAGAGGATTTTGGCTGCCTCAGGGTGCCACCTAGTGACATGAATATAAACAACAATGGGGGAAAATAGTAAAGTAGACTGAGAATCCCTCCTTTGCACATCCATAAAATATCACTGTTTTTGGTGCCAATCTTTTGTGTTATTTGAGCATTTGAGTAATTATGTACAGTGCCACGTCATCTCCTCTAAACAGAGTTATGAAGATTAGAGGCTAAAAATGATTTAAAAGAGCTATTGTATTCACTTTGTTTGATGTTTAATGTTAAATGTTTATTGTATTGTCTTACTGTTTTTGATTGAAAATGATCTGACTACAACAAAAGGCACATAACACTGCTAACTTGAACCAGATTTAGATCTGTAAGCTGATTACAGAGGTTGTCTGTAACTGTAACTTGCCCTGAAGTGTCAGATGAAAATACAAGTGTTTCTTACATAACTCCTCTGTTGCTAAGTTTGTTGCAATCGACTGCTCATAATGGTATGTACACCGTGTGCAGGATTTTTCCAATATGGCAATTAGAAGCTTGCAGAAACAAAGTTCTGGTATTTCCCAACAGTGGGGAAATCAGACAAACGGGATCATGTTAGCTCTCCTAAATTCATACTACATAATAATTTGAAGCACAACATACTGGAAAACCAGTATCTTGTTCTTTACATAGGTGACAAAAGTACATATATTCTTGAATATATACTTGAATTTTCCTCAGGATAAATAAAGTATCTATCTATCTATATTCAAAAATTTCAACAAGCATCCTAAATCTGCTTGATTTTTGAGTGTGCTGTTGATAGACACTATTGACCCACAATGCAATGCACAAAGAGAAAGCTGCTTGCAGCTTCAAAAAATTAAAACTAATTGTAGATGGTGGTGATACAGCTCCAGGAAGACAGAACACAAAAAGCAACTTACAATTATTTAAAGTATTCTGTATATTTCTATATATCTGTTGATTATTTTTCATCCAGTGAAAAGTGCAAAGAGCCTAGGGTGATGGAGTGCTCGTTTTGTCCAGAACCAAAAGATATTCTATTTACAGTGACAAAAAAACTAAAAAGTAGCTATACCAAATCAGTATAGGCCGAAATCAAGAAAATAACAAGAACTGTTTGACATTTTTTGATAAATGACAACAGATTCATTAAATACCATTGGTGATTTTATTTACTACTTTATCTACACATCAACCAAGCATTTTTAGTACAAACTGTATCTTTGTACAACATTTTGCTTGCTCTTTGTAAAGTTGAATTAGCAGTGTTGTTCCAAAGTCGCACTTTGACTGATGTCCAAATATGGGCATTATTTTAATGTTACAATGTTAAAGAACATTGACATCTTTAACACAAAAACATTAATACTATTAGTGTGTAGTATGGGATTGAGACACGGCTATTGTTTAATGGGAGTGACCAGTGCCATCTGGTGGTGTTCAGACATCATTACACTTTTCTTATCCACCTCAATTTAAGATGGTGAAATTTGAGGCTGCTTATTTGAGTTTAGTAACATACATGAAAACTACAGTCTTTCTTAGGGGCCACTACCCATAAGTCCCAGGTCCCATATAATCCACCAGTGTCTACTCCACACCAAAGAATCAGTCTGGTTAGCTGCTTCTCTGCACATCAGTCTGCTAGGACATTTGTTTAATCTGTAGAGCTACCTTATATACAGTATAATGTTCCTTTATTAGCAGATTGTATTACCTTTTTGGAAATAAAATTTGAGAATATGAATTTTGAAGAGATTAACATGTAGGATGGAATTTGACACCAAATATATGTTTTTGGTGTCAGCTAAGGCTGATTAAATGCAATGGCACCTCTTAATGTGAGCAGGAGAACAACAATTTCTATTTCAAACCATTTCTACAGAACAGTTCATCCTTGAGTTCTGGCCTTTACACCCTGCACTCCATTAGCTCTTTATCCAAAAAGGTGCTTTCAACTCCCAGGTGTAAACTGAGAATGTGGCACTGTGATGGAGAGACAAGCTCACAAAAGGTGAGAGAAACAGCCTAACAGGTGCAGCAAATCCAAAACCAGGGAGCAAGAGGCTTATTCTGATAATCCCGTTTGAAAGAATTTAAGCAGATTGCTACAATGATGGCAATCCACTCTCAGATGTCTGACCTTGCCGAAAACAGACAGAAAACAGAGGTTACTGGAATTTTCAAAAAGTAGAGCAAGATTTACTTTACTTTACTTTACTTATGAAGTAATAGCTGCACTGTGAAGGAGTATTCACAGGTCTAAATAATAAATATTTAGACGTACACATTTACAGAATTTAAACAGTGTAAAATGTTAAATCAAATTTTAGTAAGACTTAAAGTTTGAACAACAAAACTGGGTTCTCTCGCTTAAAAAAATTCCTCTTTATGCCCAAAATGCTCCCATACACATACACATGGATGGGCAAAATGAAAGGAAAAAATGAGTAAAGTAAAAAAGTAAAATACAGGTATTAAACATAAGCTTTACTTTTGAGACTGAAAGTTTATTTCTTGATCTGAGCAAGTGTTCAAGGCAAAGAAAAAAAAACAAGCCAATACGCCACAAGTCATTAAATCATCTGAAAAAAAAATGGAAATTTTAACATGCATTTTAATGACAACATAGCTCCAGCTGCTGAGGAAGATTGTGTGATATGACCAGCTTCACAAATATAATATTTCTTGCAGTGATATATTTGATTCCATTATAGTCTACTGTATACTGTAAGGTGTTTGTTATTGTGTTCCAGCCCTGTGTATTCCTATGGTATTCCTACACTTGTATGAATATGACTAACTTGTATAATAAGCATTGTAGAGTATAACAGCTTTGCAGATCTGTTTTATTATTTGTTACAGTATTATTTAAATTTTTATTCATTATTTAAAAAGTAGTTGCTGCCATTCTGTCTAAAATGTAGCCTCATATAGTGCTAATAAGCGTTTATACAGTAGCTGCCGTACAACCTGGACACCTTATGCGCTGCTGTCTCCACCTCCTCCAGGTGCGTAGCAGTGACACACCTGGAGAGGGGCTGACACCAGTAAAAGCAGACCCCTGGCCTCACTTCATGCCCGTCAACTCCAAGTTAACCAGCCTCCCAGATATGTCGATGCTGCGTCGAGATTGTAGTTTAACATGGTTTGATCTACATTACGCGCAATGAATGTCACATGGGGTTTGCTGGCGGCTTTGAGTCTGGTGTGCCACACCGAGTCGAGGTGCTCACCGACCTCTTACTACAAGAACTGCTGGATTCGACGCTTTCCGGGGATTTTCATCGACATCGAGGAGTCTCAGAGGAGAGGAGCGCAGCTTTTGAAACACTACCAGGAGGAGACGGCGCTGAAATGCAGCCGCACCTGTTGCCTTACGAGAAACTGTGAGTAAAGCTTCTTAATCAGCGTACGCACAATTACTGGACTCTTCGTTCATTTGTAACGGTACGTTGTGCATCCACTGGTCCTCTATGTGTAAATCCCAACCTCATTTATCTTATTTTCCTCTTTCAGTTTCCTGTAATCTGGCCATATTTCACTATGATACCACTCAAGAGAATGTGAACTGCTTCCACCTGCACTGTCCGACCCTGGAGAGCTGTATTCTCAGCCACAGAGGCAACGTTGTTCTGTACAATATCACCAAGGGTAAGTCACGTCTCATTCACTCTTATTGTTCACAATTATGTTGTCTGTGGTATATGCAAATAGACCAGGGCTGAATACACACAATACATGTTTTCATTCAATTAAACATACTAATGTTGCATAACTGCTACTACAGTACCATCAGTTATGAAAAACATACTTAAATACTATTTTTAAAGGTACTTTCTGCCACTGTTTGCAAAAATACTGTACATTTTATACCACTTCATTTATTGACAGCTATAGTTACCTGTTACCTTTCAGATACAGGTTGTACATGAGCTAAACATGTGCTCAGTCGAGAAAATATTTGTTATAAACTACCCATGTAGTTAAAATGATCCCCACCTCAACCAACTACAACAATAAAATGCTACTTACACACAAAAACATCCGTAACATTAATCCAGTAGTAGAGTATATATTAGTACAGCACGCATAGGGACCATTTTCCTGCATAACAAGTACTTTTACTTATGGCCTTTTAGTTTAGTCTGAATACGTCTTTCACCAATGAAACCAACTACTACTGATAATGGTAAAATTATAGTTAATGAAATGATTGAATTATTTCAGGAGAGCAATAATTCACTGACTTTATTCATTATTACACGTTTCGACATATTTTAAAAAGCCAGTGTGTTTAAATGTGAGCAAAAAGTGAAAACACCAGTGACAAAGGAGAGTCCTGACTCTCTTCATTCCCCAGGTGTGGATCCTGACCTGTTGGTGTTCGGAAAATACTTCACCTCCAATGTACGTGTGTTACCCCACCACTACAGTCGAGTCAACGCCTCAGAGCCGCTGCCCTCAGACAAACGCCAGTTCATTCACCCACCTCCGCCTGCTGCACTGCCGCTGACTTCAGCGCCCACAGTTAGACCACCCACCACAGCGAGCAGAGTGCTCCCCACCACCACCACCACCACCACCACACTGCATAGCACCAGTCAGCCTTTGACAGTTCCCACAACTACACCTGCCTTATCTACCACTCTAAACACTCCCCTAGCTTCAGGGAACCATGCACAAATAACAACCCTGACAACCGCCACCACTTCCCTTGCACCCAGCTTTACTACACCTCCTTCATCCACCACAGCAACCACCCTCAGCCCTTACAATCCCAGGACCACTCCAGCCTTTCCCACCACAACTGCACAGCCCTCCACATCCCCTACCCATCATCACACCACCACCTTCTCTCAGCTAGCCACCAGCCCTCCAACTTCCACAGCCCTTATGGGCAATATAGAGAGCAGCAAGCAATATCCCAATGACACCAAGGGCAACCTGGGGAGGAACCACACTGCAGGCAGTGAGGGGGGCCAGGGCGTCAGCGGAGAGGACACCTTCGGGGGTTTGGGATCTGGGTGGCATGTGGCCGCTCACACCTTGCTGGTTGCAGTGGCCATCTGTATCACAGTGCTGCTAAGCTGCTGTTGCTCGATTGTGCTTGTCGTGAGCTGGAGGGGACAGAGGAAGAGGATGGGACGCTACCGAACATCATGGAGAGGGAAAAGAGGCTCCATGCGTCTGATAAAGTATGTGCTGGTCAGAGAGAACACCTGAAAGTGCAGTTAAAAGTGTGCCGGAACTGACATTTCTCTTTTGTTTACAGCAATGTTTCTAATGAAGAAATCCAAGAGACATTTTACATAAATTCAAATTTCTACTGTTATATTTTTGTAAAATTGATTTTGCATACTGGATTATTTTAATAGCAAGGACATTGCTTTATTTTAAGCAGATTTGGAGGGAAATGTATTTACTGTCAACTGAGAAATTGAGGTTACATTTCTGTATATTTAAACTGAACATGCAGAGGTATTTTATGGCATAGATGAGATTACCAAATACATAGTTGCCATGATTTTGGTTTCACTTGTGACGCAATGACTTTCAACAGAAGAGCTGAACTCAGCCAATGCATTTGACCACAGCAATTTCCCTCAAGAAAGACGATATGATGTCCTTTTGGCTGACCTACATTTTGATGTACTTCAATGAGTTTAAACTGATGTTGATGCCAAACCTCAAGGACTTTGGCCAGTTGTTCTTAAGTGGGAGTTAATGGTCACTTCCAAAAAGACTGCTACAATTCAATGGTTGTTCAGATAATCAACAATGTGCGATGATGGGGCTGCCTTTTGCCTTGTGGCCTTCAGTATTTAACCCTTCTGCAGTCCAGCACATCTCCTCAGTGCATTGAGTTTCTTCTGACCTCAAAGTGCACAGACCACAGACCAAAACTCCGTAAGAGAAGGGTGAGGTACTTTTCAACAGCCTGCTGATGAAAGCATCCTTTCACTGGGGTGTCACTCCTCAACCGGATAGTGACAAGAGTGGGATGGAAGCTGAAGTTGGGCTAGGAAGAGACTGAAAGGGGCTTTTATTACATAAAAGCTTTAACCACCACGCACACAAACTTCCAACTTTCCAACTTAGACTTTTATTTTTGTATTAAAGACAGCATCATACACTTAATGACAGTAAATCTATTTTGGAAAATAAATACATTAATTGAGACCTTTGAGGTTGTTATATCCTGATGTATACTGAAACATTAATCATCTTCAGTAATCTCTTGTTTGTCTTGCTGATACATACATGGAGTCCAAAGTGATCCCACAAGTATTTAAAAATGTTTGGAGCCTATTACAGGTCCCTGCTGCTCTTGTTCACCATCCTTATGTAAATACACTTGTACATTAAGCTGTATTACAATTGGAGTACTTTCTTGACAGCCTCTTTGTACTGCAGCATGGTGCTCTCGTTCTCCCCTTCATTCTTCAACCTTGTCACAGAGTCCTTATATTCCTGCACCTCTCTTCTTCCCAGCAACTGCTCTCGCACTTCGTCGCCTTCTCCTTCCCCGGCCTCTTTCATGCGTACCAGCACGTCCAAGATATTCTTTTGGGACGGGCTGCCCTCCCAGCTATACTCCTCCATGTCTGCCACGGTCTTCTCCGCCTCCCAGGCTTCTATTTTCTAAAGAATGGGAAATACAGAACACTTTTGTTACCTTTAAACGCAGACCGCAAAAGGGAAGATTTATCCAACTCGACTTGTCTGTAGCATTCGATTTGTACAGTGTACAGCAGTTACGTCACAGTAATACAAACGTTGTGCTAATTGTGGAAGATGTTTTTTTCTGCAGGGTAGCAACAACGTATATTAAGAACAAACTTTTTAAACGATCTGGCTCGGGCTCTACTTTGGAATACAGTATGGCAACAGATGTAAAATATGGGGGTCCTTCGTAACCCCCTCACCCCTTCTTTGATGCTCCTCTCACAGAGATAGTATTTCTCCATATGTAGTGCTCTGTCCGCTGCCTGTCTTGCTGTCATCACATTCCCTTGAGAACAATACGCCCCATTGTGCAGAAGCTTAAAGCGGGCTAGCGACAGAGCCTCAGCTCTGCTGCTCTCCAGGTGTTTGAGGTTAATGACCATCATTACCGCTATACATATCTGATCCACATAACATCCCATCTGGTACCAGGCCAAGTGAGTGAGGAGGAATAGATACTTGGGAATAGATCAGTAGCTTCCTTTAAAATAACGAAGGCCTACTTTAGTTATAGATAAAAAGGATCTGCCGATAATCCTCATGCCAAATTAAAGACCGAATGTTTGATAACTCGCCAAGACACGAATGGCCACCTGTTTTCCCGATCTAGTTTATGTACCTGCGAAATAACATTGATATTTTCAGTTGGGGGAGGAAAGGGAAGGACAGGTGTGATGGCACAAATGCAGATGGAGTGCCTCTCGTGGTAAGCTTTCCTCAATGTTGGAGGCAGCTTCGAGCGGTCAGCCCTAATGCTGACCTGGATTAGCACACACTAGAATTAGCAGGGAAGGTCCGTCTCCCTGAGTGGGGAGATAAAATCACCTCAGTGGCTGCTAACAACTGGCCTCTTTGTGGGCTAGCGTTACAACCTGAACGCTACGCCACTCTCACAGCTTCCACAAGCCTGCTGGACAAGCACTGTGCCTTCCATTGTGTGTCCAAAAGGGCAGTGGACAGTGTTATGCTTCCTGGCTCGGACACCTTTCCCAACTGAGAGAACTTCTTTTTTTTTTTTTTTTTATGTGCCTAAACCATGACGGGAAAAGCTCCTCAAGGCACTGCTGGCGCCTTGTGGCAGACTTCTCTGATGTGGCATGGTTGGCTTAATGTGAATGAGTATCAGGGTCAACACCTGATAGGGGAGTCTGTTTTCCCCCCACCTGTGGAGAAATGTCAACTGGACAATGCTGCTGTTTGCCATCCTGCTGCCCATTCAAGGCTGATACCTCCCTAATGGGCTTAGTCTCTCAGATTGCAGAGCAAGATGGACAAGAATTCCCCTGGTAAAAAAGGTACAGTGCCATGGTGCTGGCCATATGGAAATGTCACCAAAGCAGATAAAAGTGATACAAATCTTTAACAGAATGTTTTTTTGTAATACAATATTTTTTGCAGAGTATTCTTTTCTAAAAAAAAAAAATATGAATCCTTTTTTCTTTTTTTTTTAAACAAAATCTCAATGCACACCATTGTGCCAGTTAGTCTGTAACCTGTAAAGTTGGGGCTGCAATTGTACGCAGCAGTTTGCCACCCAGAAGTTTGCCACCCAGATCAGCAGAGAAGGAAAAAAAGAAGGAAAAAAAGAAAGAAAA